ATTGTGCTTGGAAATCATCGAGCTGCTATGAAGTTGAAAACGGAACTCAAGTTGTGTAGTCGTATCATCTGTTTCACCCTCTATGTTAACAAGAATAGATATGTGCTCAATCTTTTTCTCTATATTTTGTTGGCTTATAGTTTTAATTTATTTGTTTACTTGTCATGGCTACTAGGTAGGTTTCTGAGAAAATATGGTATTGGCTCAAAGTTTTTGCATTAGCTATAATAAGAGATTGGGATGCCTTGGAGAAGTTCTCAAAGGAGAAGAAACCACCGATTGGTAGGCATTTTAGCTTTCACAATATGTTTGTAATGTGTTAATATTCCATTGAGTCACCTGTTTAAAACCCTGGAGACTAATAGTTGTCGATGGTTCTTTTTTATTTTTCTTCCTATTAGAATGCTACACGATCCATTTTATCAATATGCTCAGTTGATTCTGAAGAAAATCCTTGGGAACGTGGACAAAAATGTAAAGTTGTACGTGATATGTGGAATAATTTATAACTATGCCAATAATCAGCTCATTAATGTACTCAGTTGCAACGATTTTTGTTATGGTCTTCTGCTGCCTCAGTGAGCGTCACAGTTTTTATTAAAATATGTCCTTTTGAAATGAAAGCTAATCATAGATTGAAACGAGTGCTTGTATTTATTTAGGGTACAGTTTATATGTAGGTGTAGCTGTTCTCTGGTAAATTTTTGTGTGGTATATGTTACCTTTGTTTCTTGGTTTGTGGCTAAAGTTTTCATTCAATCCTTGTGGCTAGCTGGTTTCACAAAACTTCTCTGTTTTTTTTTTCCTCTTTGTGTGTGTGTGAGAATTTAGCATGCTCTTTCTTGTGCCGTTGTGCCATTTCCATTTGGTGTTTCTTATTAATTTTTTCTTCCTGAACTTGTTTTCTAAATCGTCAGTAAATAATTATTTTATTATTTAAGGGATAAGAATATTGAGATCTGAAGTTATACTTGCACCATTCAAGCTGTAAATTAAACCAATCACCCAATTTTTCTTTATGTTAACCTTAGCTTTGCGTTGTGCTTGCACCTTTCAGGTTATAAACCCTTTGTTGAGGCCTGCGTTGATGCAGATGAAAAAGGTGAAGCCTTGAAATATATCCCAAAACTTATTGATCTTCGAGAAAGAGCTGAGGTAAACTGAACTTTGTTTTTGCTATTCTTCCATACTATTTATTAAAAGCTTGGACATTCAGCAAATGCTCATTTTTGTGAAGTGGTCTGAAACCAGTGTCAACTATTAAAGTATCTTCTGATTCTTGTCCTATGTTACTCAGGCTTATGCTCAAATTGGAATGGCAAAGAAGCTGCAGATGCTGCTTCTCAGGTGAAAGATAGTGAGCTGCTTGGTCGGTTGAGGTTGAGTTTCTCACAATTACTGCAGCTACATCAATTTTTGACACTATCCGTGAGAGGTTGGGTGCTTCATAAGGGTCTTGCTTCCTTTTTTTATTAATTTGAAGATGCCCTTTTTTTTTTTTGGGAGGGATCTGTGTTTGTGTTTGTGTGTGTGCATTTGCTAGAGAGAAGATGTTGGGGGCTTGGGGGTAACATCTATTCAGAGTGTATAGTTTTCCTAAATAAAACGTTCAGCCATTGGTGTGGTTTTTCCTTTGCCATCATGTAAACACTTGTGATCATTTTGTAAGATATGACAGAAGGAATGTACATTTGAGACAACATGCATCGATCGCCCGATCAGGCTAATTGACAACACCAACATTCTGTTTCTGTTTCTTGACAATTTGACAGTGTTATTTGAACCAATTTAGTGCCTTTTGGGGTCAAGGTTGCAGTAGGTTTTATACCTCCTAAAAAAATTACAAAGTGGCTCAAATCTGGGCATTTGAGACAACACGCATCGATCGCCCGATCGGGCTAAGCTCCGTGCAATCGGGTGAAGAAGGTCGATCAAGCTTGCTAAATTTCTGGAGCTTCCTTGAGGCCTAGACTTCTTTGGTCTAGGGCTTCTTCGATTGGGCTTCAACTCTCAAGCCCACATCTTGCGCAACTTTGGCCTTGAATGACACTGGACTCGTGGCTTTCTTCTTGAGGGTCTCAAGTGATGAGCCTTTTGTCTCTAGAATTGAACCCTTGATCACCAAACTCGAAATCTACTCTTGTTCAGAAATGAATTCTAATACTTGGTCATATAACACTATTTATCTCTAATGCCTTATAGAAAACACACATTAGTAACAAAAATAGCTCCAAAGAACCCCAAACAAGCACAAATATGACTTTGCGATGGGGGACAAAATAATACATAAAATAGACACACAGACTCGATGAAATAACATTATTCTAGGTTTACTCAAAATTTCTTCTTCTCGAGGTTGAGAACTTCCATTTGCCTCAAATCAAGGCATAACGTGATTCCCTTTCTTTGCATTTACAACTTGTTTCTTCCCTTTTTCCCATCTATGGAGTTTGGTGCATGATAAGACTCCACTGTTATCGTGTGCCCCTAAAGAGAGAAAATTTTGGCAGTTTTTTTTTTTGTTTTAAAATATAAAGCATCACATTGGTCAAGTGATGTGTGTAAATAGAGCAAAAGGCAAGATGAACACATAAAAAAACAAAAGAAGTACTATACATATCGTATTTAAAGTCCATTTTTATTCACTGTAAACCGATAAACCAAACAACCCCCCCTCTCTCTCGAAACATTGATCCAAGAACGTAAGTACCAAGGCCAAACAACACTTGACTCATGCTTAATTTCAAGTAGCATTATAAGCTAAACCTAACCAACTCTAAAGCTCCCTACCCGTGATCTCGATTCCACCTCAACTCGTTAACACCCCTAATCAGGTTGACGATCGAAAAGTAAAAGAAAACAAAAAAACAAAAAAAAAAAAAAAAAAATCTCCTAATCTTTGATTCCAACTCAACTGCTTAACACCCCTATTACATTGACGATCAGAAAGTAAAAAGAACTTTTAATTCTGATTATAGCTCAACTCATTAACACCCCTAACACGTCGACGATCGAAAAAGGAAAAAGGGGAGGTGGGGGCTGTTTCGGGGTTTTTTGGAATCCCTCGGGATACTGGTTTTGAATACAGCCGGACGGTATCGGACACCTGTAAAATAACGAATATTCTGGTTGACGAAATATTCGCCTTCGACGATCAAGTTAGTGGCCGAAAAACGAAGTAATGTAGAGAAAGAGAGAGTAGAGAGAAGTTGGAGCTATTTAGTGCTCTTGAATATTATGTCTTAATCCACCCATCCCATCATAAATGATCGGAATATTTATAGGGGTGGGAATGTGTGCTACTTTAGGGTTAGTCTCCTAGAAAGGTGGTCTCTAATTGGCGGCGCAATCAGGTAAGGACAAGTGTCCTTTGGGGGCGCCGTTTTGCGGCTTTCTCGGGATTTGGACCTCTTGATGTAAGGTGGCCTTTTATCTCATTCAGGTGGGTTGCCACGTGTCATCTATACGGACACATGTCTCCCATTTATTGGGCCACATGCCACTATGGGATCGTATCATACAAGGCGCCTCCTCTGATCATCACTCGTCCGAATGCGTTCGAGTACTTAGGCTTTTGAGTGCATTGGTTGGAAGTGACGGATTATAACGTCCGTCCGAATCTTGGGAAGATCCTTTGGGCTATCTGCCTTAATCGGTCCGCCTATTTTCATTAGTGGACTTAAGTCTTAAAATCAGGTGGACGAGTTATGCCCACTGGCTTTAAGTGAACATCTGTCTTCCGTATTTTTCGGAACGACAGTTCTGATTCTGCTGACTTGGCTGTCTATTTTGACGCGCCGTTAGTTAATCCATACATCTTCCCATCTTTAATGACGGAGCGGTTTCTTAACCGTTTGAGCTTCTAGGCGGGAAAAGTGGTTTTATCATTTTGCCCTCATAATTTTTGCCTATAAATAGGACCGGTTTGACTTTAGAAAAACACTTTGAATGTTTTTGTTTTCTAGAGAGAAGTCAGAGCTTTTAGAGAGAGAAAGTGTTGTTCTACCCAAATATTCGATAGCTCCGCTATGAGTTTGAGGTTTCCGTTCGAGTTTTTTAATTCTCCGGTCAGCTTTGTTCAAGATCTTCAAAGCTCCTTGAACTTAGTACTCGCACAGAGGTAATCGCCCGTTTCCTCTCCTTTATATTTTTTCTTTTCTTCTCTTTCCATACTTGTTTTATTTTTTAAACACGAACTAGCACAATACTCAGATTCGTTCGTCTCTCCTCATGAGGTCAGTCATTCGCCTAGGACTGAGGAGTCTAGAGTGGACGGAGCCAACTCCTCTTCTCTTTGGAGTGGGTCTATTTTTAGTGCGTACTAACTCACCCCCTCTTATTCTTCTTTGTCCCTACAATCGAACATGGCACGTACACGCGGTACGTTTGACCGAGAGGCGGCCAAAAACAGAGGTGGCTGCAGAATTAATCCTTTTCCTCCTCCCAACACAAATGAGACGGACACTGAAGAGACGAACAACTACTACATATCTAACCTTAAGTAACACCCAAAAAAAGTGATAAAAGTGTATTATAGACATTAGGTAACACTTTAGTGGGTGATACATCCGCCCATGTTACCTAAGGTCTTATGTAACATTTTGGGTAATGTATGGTAACACTTATATAAGTGTTATTATAAACCCACTTATGTAACACTTTTTAATATTATTGGTATCATTTTTAAAGTGTTACTTTTTATAACTTATGTAACACTTATTTATCTTTAATAACATTTTTCAATAATATAGTAACACTTTATCAGACATTATATTTCGTATCACTTTTGCGAACTAAAGTAACACCTTGTTGATTATTAAGTAACATTTTTCAATTATCTTTTGACATATAGTAACACTTTATTTGACATTATATATCACTATTTGCAAACTAATGTATCACATTATTAGAATATGCAACTTTTTTTTATTTTTTTAATATAAAATAATATTAACATGTAAAACAACTACGAATGTGAAATTTACATATACAATAGACAATAATTTGAAATGATATAATTTCATAGTTTCTTAAGAAAAATTCCATTACACCAAAACTTTTGTTTGGCTAAAAATCTAATAAACAAAACAAAAAGAAAGTGAACTTCGGTCTCTAGATTAGACCATCAAATTCCAAAACAAAAAAAGCAAAATTAATAGCATATAGCAGCAGCTAGCACCATCAGCCGATAGCAGCAGCTAGCAGTAACAACAGTCAGTACGTAGTAACAGGCTAGCAGTAACAGCAGATAACAGCAGCTTGGAGTACACAGCAGTCAACAGCACCACGCCAGCAAATAGCAGTGGCAGCAGACATCAGCATGAGTCAGTAACAGCAGACTCTTGATTACTTTAAGAACATGGAACCCATCTTCTTCACATTTAGATTACGAGCTCTTAGGAATCTTCTCAACATTAAGTCATCTATTTCCTTATATGCACATTAGAAACTCCTCTCAGTTTTGGTATAGGAGTAGATAAAGTTACAAATGGCAAATGCATGGACAATATTCAGGTCATGACTACGTTGTTTTGTGATCATGATGAGTTTTGTTGTATTTTCCTAGAGTAATGAGTACTCTCTAAGCTTTAGTGAGCATTGGCAGGCTTCTAATACATACAATCAAGGAAATAAAGGAAGCAAGCAAAGAGTTAGATTAATTGAAGTGCTCAGGAACAAAATTCTAGAGGATTAGTATGTTGTAATAATCTCAATTAGAAGAACTGGATATACTTTTAGAATCCATTGCCTCACAAACACAGGGAGATTCATAGCAATGCAAGGTCTAACAATGATCTAACTTCACACATCTTTTGTAAATAAAACTAATAAATGCTTTAAATATAAAGGATCCCGTTCCCGCTCACCATCACTAAATTTAACAAGAAAATTGCACACATAGTTGACATATAGGAATGGGAGATAAGAGTGAATATATTTGAAAGACTAACCTCTTTTCTCTAACAAGAAGGTTGGCTCTCGATGTCCAGGTTGCTTTTTCGCTAGTTAAGTTGATATGGAGTCAAGGAGCGCCACGCATTTGAACTTTCTTTCTTGTTATAGAAGCACAGGACTCTAACTTCAAGCACTGCATTATTTTGCACCAACCTGCAATTGCTGCTATTGCGTCATCAGTAACAATATCACTGCAGATAATATTAAGGATTCTCAAGTTGTAGCAACATGTTATAAGTTGTATGATGTAAATTACTCCCATGAATTTATTTATTTTAATAAATTATAAGGAAACTTACATATCAAACATGACTCATTTGTTGAATCCTTACTACTTCCCAAACTTACTTGATAAGTTATTATGCTCTTGTAATTAGAAATAACAAAACCCTTATCTAGACATACCACATTTACAAACCTTTACCTATTTTCTCACCTCATTTAATAAAACAACAAATGGCTCATGTAATTCGAAATAAGAAGTTAATCAAGAGTGATAAACAAATTCGGGGAGATTAGTGTTCGTTCATCAAATCACTTTTAAAGAAACATTTGAATCCTCTAATACATTTAAACTAATTAACTTTAAGTCACTCACACATTCGAAATTTTAACATATACATTAATCCTCATCACTTTGGCAAAATATCAATTAGTCACTGTCCAAATAGTCATTAATCAAAATTGACCACATTTTAACTTGATGAACTAATGTGTAAGTAAATGGAGGTAGGGAAAACTAAATAAACAAAATAAATAAGAGAAGCCCAAGAATTCATTTTAGCACCCCAGCCAACTTAACACAACAACACCACATAGGCATAAAATGAGCAATAACAGAATAGCCCCGATGCGATAGAACTAAAGCAGCAGACCACAGTAAATTCCAGAAGGCATAACTCCTAGCACACAACTCCAAATCGAGAAATTCTTGAGCCTAGATTGAATAACTTTTCGAGATCTAAAACCTTCATGAAGGGACTGTGACCTAAAAATAACTTCAGGTTGATGATATTTGGACAAACAGAACAGCGGTTACAGGGCAGCACAAGAAAAACAGCAGCAACAGCATGAAATAACATGTACCCTCTACAGTCACTCACAATAGAAATATCTAGCTTGACAACATAAACTTTGGCAGCAAAGATAATATTTATAAAAGCAAATTAAAAAGAGAAAATATTGGGAGAAAAAGATAATATGTATCTAAGTTGGTTGATGTTGTTGATCTTTCTAAGCATTCTTTGTAACTTTTAACTAAACACCCAAAATGTTATCATCGCCACTGCCAGTATTAACCTTAGTTTGAATAAATTGCAACATAAGTGGTCTCCAAGTAACAACGTCAGTACTTTTAAGAAGAAAATCGCGGCCCGCAAGAGCTTGAATGACGCTCGACGAAATGCAAACCCTAGATAATAAACAGTAACAACAATAGTGAAGAACCACAAGTCTTTTCGCAATTTCGAATATCAACAAAACAAAACAAAGATTGATCGATTCACAAACACTAATACCCCCAAAATCAAAATCAATTCCTAATCAAAATTATGTTTCGCACAACTCAACGAAAAATCAATTCGTGAAAAAAAATGCAAATCAACAAACCTTGTATGAAAAGAGAATCGAAAGTAGCAGATTAAAAGAGGGAGAGATCAGACAATGGTGGGATTCGAGGCCTCCAAATCGGAGTCTCTAGAGAAGATGAAGATGAATGATGGAGGATTAGAGGAGAGAGAAGCTATGGAAAGATAGATAGAAAATAAAAGGACATCAGAGTTGTTAAAAATTGCTACCAGTTGACGGAATCCGTTAAGATTTTCGTTAAGTAAGTTTATTCAAAAAAAAAAAAAAAAATTAAAATGTTTTTTTTAAAAAAGAAAAACCCAGCCACCCTCCCCCCTCCTCCACCACCCCTCCCGTCAGCCACCACTTTCCCCCCCTGCCGGCGACCGGCGCCCAAAGCGTCGGCTACCCTACCCCACTGTCTTTCCCCACCAACGCAGCCCACCCCTGCACACCTCTCATGTCACACATCACCACCGTCGCCCCTCGCTGCATATTTCCGACAGCATGCACACAAACTAGCGGCCCAACTCACGCACAGAAACAACCCTGCCAGCCACCTCGCTCGACCACTCTCCCACCGCCACCCATATCTTCCTCAACTTCCCCCTCCCACATCGCCAAACACACTCCTCGCCCCTCCCTGAGCGCAACTGAAACCCACCCCTGAACGGCCGGCAAACCTACCCCCTCCCTTTCCCCTTCTTGCTGCCCCGGCCTCCACCCCGAACCGGAAACCACCCCCTCCCCATTCGCCCCACCAGAATAGCCTCTAGGGTTACGAGGTTGGAAGTTTTAGAAATGGGGGATAGAAGGGTTTAATAGGTGGTTGCGTAGGGGTTTCGGGGAGGGGGGACTGTGGCTTAGGGGAAGCGCCGGAGCGGCGAGTCTAGTGGCTGGGCAAGTGAGGTGGCTGGGCGAGCGAGGTGGCTGAGCAAGGGAGGTGGCGGGTTGCCGGAGTTCTAAGGTGGTTGGGGTTTTGGTTGGTTTTTTGTTTTTTTTTAAACATTTTTATTTATTTAATTTTTCTTTTAATAATTTTAACAGAAACTTAACGGATTCTGTCAGCTAGTAGCAATTTTTAACAATTCTGATTTAGGTGGTAGTAAAATAAAATAAAAAATTAAAGGGGTAGCAAAACTGAGGTGCCTGCCTTTTGGTGGTAGCAAAAATGAAAATGTCCAAAATAAAATAAGCAATACTTTTTTTTTTAACGAAAAAATAAGCAATCAGTACTACTTTAATTTTGAAAAATAAAAAAAAAGTAAAAAAATGTTTCTTTAAAAGTGTTACTTATATTAAAAGTGTTACATTCTTAAAAAAAGTTACCGAAATGTTACTTATAAATCTAATAATTTTGCATTATAAAAAGTGTTACCAAAACGTGTTACATAAACTCAGTTGTTTACTAGTGCGTCGTTACTGCCAGTGGCAGTGCATGTTCGGTGTTGGAAGTTATTGCCACCTCGTCCGGACCAAACACACAACCAATTCTTCTCCAGTCTTCTTCCACGGAGATGAGAGAAATTAATGCTGCGGCGTCTGGCCAAAATTCGGAACGACCCTCTTCTCAATATACTAGCTCGGTTCTGATGCCGGCCGAGCTGCTTTCTTCTGAGAGGCATCCTTCTTCAATTCAGGCTGCTGCTGGACGAATACCATTTTGCCCTGTTCCAGCTGGTGCCGAATAACTGGGCCAATATCTTTGGGTACTTGGTGACTTGCCTTAGGAATGTCTTCACTCCCAATTTCCCAGTGTTTTGCGAGATGCACAACATGGTGCGGCTGAATGCGCAGGCGGACGACTAGTTTAATTTATTCTGAATACTCGCCTGACTACTTAGTAGTCTTGCACAAGCCATCCAAATGGCGTGACTGGAAGCACCGCTTCTATCGCATCAAGACCAAGGACAGGCGCTTCAACCGCCAAATGAACATATTCAATGTCGAGCCGGTTCAGCTCGGATGAAGGGATCATCGGCCATCTAGGCCTCCTGTCCATCTGGACCATGCTCATCAGCTTGACTACTTTAAAGTCAAGAAGGTGTTCCGGAATGGGAAGCAAGTGCCCATTATCTCTAACTGGATCCCCTTGACTGACTGGCTCAGGGATCCCATATTTATGTAATCATTCGGCTTGCTCCGGAATTATACCCCAAGTGGATTTTTGTGACATGACCGTCCGAATGAGTTTCCATTGGAAATATAATCTTACTTTTTGTTCTTTTTTCGTAATAGAGACTGCCATGTCTGAGCTGGATCTGGAGCAAAAGGGGGAGATCAATACGTCCGACTTCAAATTGGAGCGTTATAGGCTCCTTAGGCAAAGTTGTGAAGCGGCCAAGGGGGTACGAACTCCTTTCAATTCTTTCTCTTCTTTTTATATATTTATTTATTTTTATTTTTTTTTTGTTTTTGTCCGATCTGCTATGCAAGGAAGGGCATCCTTCTCACTTTTACTCAGACGCACTGACCTTTTCCATCTTGGCCGAGTTAATATATTAGGAAAGTCATACTTTTCACTTTCACCCGGACAAGGTGAATAGGTTGATGTATTTGCCGAGTAGTATGCTGGGAACGTTATACTTTTCAATTTTACTCGGACAACGCATCTTACTATCTTTCCTTGTTTTCATTTTTCAGACAGCTACCCCGAAACCGATAAAGAAGCAGTCGGCGTCCGCTTCAAAGGACAAGGGGTCGTCCAAGTCTCGCAAGATTTCTGCGTCCAAGACCCCCTCAAGGGCGCAGATGGATAAGGCAAAGACGTGGGATGCTCAGGAGCAGACTAAAGGAGGATCACCTCAGCTGACACCAAGTAGGGCCTATGACAGGCTTAAGTCGTATCACCTAATCAAAAGTAATTCCTAAAACCACTAACAAAAATAGATAGGGAAGTAGGGTCGAATCCAAATAGAAACAATGTTTTGTTATTCCTAATAAATTATTAAAATCTAAATTATAAAGTAACAAGTAGGATTTCATATGAATTAATCTAAGGGAAATAATTAAACTAAGCAATTAAAACTAAGAGAATATCAATAAAATAAATTCTAGGGCGTAGGTTCACCAATAAATAATATTCCAGGATGAAAGACAACAATCAATATCAATCATAAATTAACCTGATTATAAAGGGCTTTCGCTACGTATTACAATCATAGAATTAATCTAGCGGTATTAAATCGCATCTCTCGAATCTTGACTTAACCATTTATAAATTAACCTGTCTATCGAAACTAAGCCTTAATATCAATTCTCATATGTCGAATCTCGAATCAATATTGCATAACTCATACTATTAAACCTGGTCAAATCAAATTGCATAGAAGTAAATCAATCAATAGGAAATTAATCTAAAACATTAATAATCAACAATAATAAATCATCTGTTCATATTTAAAAATTGCATAACTCACGCCGGGTAACAACCATCTGATGTCTATAAAGTTCACACAAGGGATGCGGGCGAAACTTACCCCAGTATTCTTGGCCGCCAATTGGGCTCTCTTTTTCTCAAGCTGATCTCTCCAGATCTGGGCCGCAGACTTGGCAGGCATCTTTTCAGCATCCACCATTTCTAGACCTTTTTCTGCAAAAAGAAACCAGTTGATTACACAAAAACAGAAATCACAATAATAGAAACGAAAACATAACGCTGGCTAAATGATTAACGTACGTTTCTCAAACATGGTACTAAGACCATAGCCGGAGAGGAACGTTTCATCCTTGAGCCAGTCCGGATGGGGTACCCAATTCTTGGGCACTATTATTTTTGAGCTATCGTTTAGGGGTGTAGTTGTGGTTTTGAAAATCTTCGGCTCCATTTTTTCAGCCTAAGCCTTCTCAGGAATGTGTGGAAGGGCACACTTCTTCCCTAAGAGAGCTGACTCCTTGTTGTACCGGCGGAGGAAGTGGTTGTTTCGCAGAGACGGGGAAGAGACTAAATAAAACTTGCTCTTCCAGTTGGTCCACTTGGACGACTTGTCCAGAGTCATCATGTATTCCAAGAGTGTGGTCAGAGTGTACCACGCCACCCAGCCTCCCGGAGCCTAGCTCATGTAATGCATGAGCGAACGCCTCAAAGCTAGGTGTAAGATTTTGCATCTTGCAGGCAACGATATAGCTCAGATTGTTCACCCATGAGTTGGGTGTGAGTTGCCATACGCCCCCTAACTCATAACCCCTCAAGATGGCGCTAATTCCTTTGTAGAGGGGGAAGCGGAGGCCGGCATTGAATGCCGCCTCATAGCAGCCGAAATAGTTGTCGGCATGGTTAATATCGTCCTCCTAGACAACAATCGCCTCTACAGGCGACACAATTATTTCCCAACCTTTCCCCATTAGGTACTTGTCCCTAAAAGCTTCGAAGCTAGCTTCTAGGGTAATTCTATCCCTGGCGGACATGCGTGTCTCAATCGGGTTGGTCATAGACGACCCCTTTGATGACTCACCCTCCTAGAAGTTGGCATCCGCTTAATGCCTCAGAATCAGATCGTTGGACGACCTCTTCACTATCTTCCTGTTCGGATTCGTTTTGCGCACTAGGGGCAGAGACAGATCCCTCAGCGTTTGTCTCATTTAAAATTCTATCACTAGGAGTGGTGGGGGAACCCAGAGGAGAATCTGTCTCTTGCTCATCCGGCCTATCATATTCCTCAGACGGCGTAACCTCATCAGCCGGAACTTCTAAAGTGTGCCTTCTATGTCTTGGCCTTGTAGCACGTCTATTTGACCCTCGCCATTGTGTCCTGCACAGACACAAAGACGGTATGATTCGGGGATGAGCAAGGCAGATCCAAACACCCAGAGACGGCACCCCCAGTCCTAGACTCAGCCGTACCAGGAGACCGGCTTGTTATTGACCTAGGTTGTGCCGTGTGTGCTAATGGTGAATCTATTTATTGAAAGCTATACACACACACACACACACATATATATATATACAAACGGTAAAAGCTTGAAAAAGCTGAGAAGGGGAGAGATTGTTTGTGGAAGTTACAGCAGGCAGCAACCAGAGTCTCTCTCTAGACTTTTTCAAATGTCAAAGATGAGGGAGGAAGGGGGGGGGGGTAAATGCTTATTTAAAGTGGGGTAAAAACGGGGGAATCCCCGTAATTTCCTCAGAAGGTAAACAGTTAAAAACTGTTCACCACTTCCAGAGTGACATGCGTCACAGGCGCCACGTGGCACGCCACGTCCCCCTGAGAGGGGCAAATGATTTGGGCAAAAATACCCATGCTACGTGGCCCACTCAGAAGGGGACACGTGTCACCCCAAGACAGATCCAATAAGGGCCGCTCACCACCCGACACGTGGCACCCCCAATCAACAAAGGAAAAAGGCGGCCTTCAGGGCCCAGTTCCTGAGAAAGTTGTAAAATGGCGCAGCCCACCAAATCTATGTCAAGATGACCTAAGAGCGGGCACATTTTTGAATGACCCTATAAATAGAAAGATTTCCCCCATTTCAGGGACACGTTCATTTATTGCGAACATTGAATTATCTCACATCAGAGAAAACACTTGATCATGGAATTCGAGAAGATCTTAGTTTACTTTTCCACCTTTTTACATTCTTCTACCGGTTCTAACTTGATCGTCGGAGGCGGAGCTCCTACCACCCGGAGTCTTCGTTGTGTTGCAGGTATAGGCGCCCAGAATCCAGACTTAGTGACGTTACTCTCCCGAGGGACACAGAAAATCCCGAAACAAAGGCCATGACCAAGAAAAAGACACACAAAAGCACACAACACTACTAGAAAATAGCTGATTTACGAGGGAAATATTCCGTTGGTATGCCTTAAAAATCCGTTGGAAAGGCCAGTTTCCGACGGAATTCCGTCGGAACACGTTCTCGGATATCATATTGTCGGAAATTTGGGTTATACCGAGGGATTTTCCATCGGAAACGTCCTTACCGATGGAATTTTCGACGGATTTTAATTTCTCGGAACCTTAGTTTGACCAGAATTGGAGGTCCATCGCAAGGTTCC